TAAATAAACAAATAAACAAGTGCTGGCGAGGACATGTAGAAAAGGAAACTCATACATTGTTGGTTGGATTATAAATTGGTGCAGCCCTATGGAAAACAGTATGGCTATTCCTCAAAATATTAAAATGGAGCTGCCATACAATCCAGCAATCCCACTTCTGGGTACTTATCCAGGAAAACAAAAACACTAATTAGAAAAGATATATGCACCTGTGTTCATTGCTGCATTATTTTTAATAGCCAAGATATGGAAGCAACCTAGATGAATAGATAAGGAAGATGTGGTACATATATACAATGGAATATAACTCAGCAATAAAAAAAATGTTTTTTTAAAGAATTAAATCTTATCATTCACAACATGGATGGACCTTTGAGGATATTATGCTAAGTGAGATAAGTCGGACAGAGAAAGATGAACACCATATGATTTCACTTATAGGTGTAATAAAAAACAACACCACCACCAAAACAAATGAATAAACAAAACAGAGCCATAGATAAAGAGAACAAGCTGATGATTGCCGAAGGAGAGAGAGGTGGGGGCATGATAAAATTAATGAATTAATTTTTTAAAACTCCTGTCCCAGAATTGTGCTAAAAACAAAAACCAAGAGCAGAGGGTAGTAATTAATGGATGGAAAATTACTAAGAGAAACTTGATTAGATATTAAGGGGGAAGGGAAAGAGACTAAATAAATACATAAATATTCAAGAACTCAAAACACTGTGCCCAGAAGCCTCTCTTGAGGATTTACTAGAGAATGGGCTCATCCAACTAAGAATTTAATTGGGGAAAAGGGGAAAACGCAGACAGCATTATGATGGTGAGCATTAAATATATTAAGTTGTAGATCTCCAACTAAAATAAAAGTAATGACAAGGGTAGAAAAATAGTACAGAAATTTTTTTGTAAAAACAATATGACTAAAACAGAAGTGAGGAGAGAAAGGGGAAAAGAAAATAACTGAATATAAGTAATAAATTGAAGGGAGTCAAGATATTGCTGACAAAATAATATAACCCCAGTAAGGAAAAGGAATTTGAGGACACTTGAAAAGATACAATCATATAGTGACTATTGGAACAAAAGCCCAAGCATTACTAAACACCACAATTAATTTTAAAAGTAAGGTTTTTTTGTTTGGCCTTGGGTTTTTTGTTTGTTTGTTTGTTTGTTTGTTAGCACTTCCTCATTTTCCAGCACTATAAGATACTCTGGGGTTCATCTCTGCATTTCCTGCCTCAATAATGGCATTCCTCCAAGGAGTCCTGGTTTCTGCTCCAAAGGGAACTGAAAGTCGTTTGGAAACACAGTTGCTTTGATTCTTTGGGCATGGGAGGAATCTCAAAACAAGTAATCAAGGCTGATCACTGGGAAAATGAAAGCTGAGACAGCAGCAAAAGGGCTGGAGAGCGCCCGCGGGTCTCGAACCGCTGTCGCTCAAGTGAGCAACTGCGAGTAGGAAGCTCTGTATGCGAAGGAACCGCTGAGCTAAAGCCAGCCCAGGCGTGACCTTTGGATTAAATTCATTTCACTGTTAAGAAGGATATACGTCATCATAAATCGACCAAACCAAAAGTGATCAGGGATCATTTACCAACCGACTGTCCAATCCGCTGTCGCCGCAACCCCCACCCCACCCCGTGCCTGTCTGAGAACACTCAGCAGTGACTCAGGTCTCCCCTATTCCCCAGGGAGCTCTTCCATAGTTGCTTCTGGGTTTCTTCTCTCCTACTATGAGCGGTCACCTGATCCACTAGTCTCTGCGCTCCTGCAGGCCACCACACGGGGTCATTCTGTGATCAAATCAACTTTCACAGTGCCTAATCAGGAATTCACTCTTGCTTCACAAGCTTCAAATTGTATTTCAGGCCTTTTCTTGATCTTTGCAGCTAAACCAGATAAATCCTACAGCTCCTCTCCCAGGTGTTAATAGAGCATTACTTATGCTGCTACTAGTTTTTAAAATTATTTTAAATCCCACATGAAACCCCTTTTATGTATAGTGTAAGTAGCTAACCCTTCTCTCCCACAGGTCCTACTTTTCTCCAGTTAGGATTTCAGTGTACATCCCTCCAGTCCTTTCCCTCATCCTATATATTTTACTGCACACAATTTAGTTTCATGATTGGGGTGCTTATTGGGGATCAGTTTGTTGGGCAATTTCTGTGCTTGTTTACTTAACAGTATGTCTTGGAGATCTTTGTCAGTAAATATAGATCTAATATATATTGCAATGGCTGCTTTATAGTCAAGTATAAATGTACCAGTTTTTATTTTACACATGTTTTTAAATACTTTGATTTCAGAGGGAGAAATACAAACATCTGATCAGTGATGAGAATCATTGATGGGGTGCCTCCTGCATGCCCCATAGTGGGGATCCAGCCCATGATCCGAGCATATGCCCTGACCAGGAATGGAAACCTCACCTCATGGTTCATAGGTTGACGCTAAACTACTGAGCCATGCCAGCTGGGCTGAACCAGTTTTATTTTAGATGCTTCACTGTTATAAAAACAAAGCTTCAGTAAACAAGTATGTTTTTAGGATACTTTAGAATTGCTAAAGATTCTTCACATTTAAATTTCTGGAGGGATTATGGGAGGTGCCAGAAGTCACAGAATTATTTGGAGCCATACTGAACTTTTGTTCCCCAAATACTATATACATTTCAAAAAATATAAATTCCACGACAGTTGGAGCTTTGATGCCTTGCCCCAGAAGATATTACCAGGGCCTGGAACATACTCAGCATCTCAGCATACATTGAACAAATGAACACAAGTAGGCCAGTCACAGGCATATTCCTCAACCAGAATGCAGTTCCCGCCCATGGATTTTAGAAAACAAATATTAATGAAGTTCCTCTTCCAGAGATTTCTGAGTTCTCTGGGATTGCTCTGGGCTCCTAAATTTCCATCCCTTCTCCTTCCTCCCCTTCTCCAACATACCACATTGAGTTCCTCCAAATACCCATGACCTAGACAGGCCCCTTGGAGACTCAAACCACTTGTCAGTCCCTAGAGAATTTAAGAGAACCTGGAATTTAGAATAGTTTTTAGTAGAGGTGGCCAAAGGTAAGATTCCACTGTACCAAAGAGGAAGGGAGATGATTTGAAGCCAACTTGAATTAGTTTCCTGAAAAATGAATAGTGAACAATGGAAGGTTGTCAGCTCACTGATAATCTTCTTCAGCCTGACTTGAATGGGGAAGCAAAAGGGTCGAGTCCACTAGGGTAGATTCTTATACAAGGACCTGTATAGTATATAATCATGACAAGGAAGGCACCCACTAATCAGCCTGCCATTGGGCAACAAATACTGTGTCAAACTTTCAGCCAGGCCTTGAGACACATTCACAGTGGCAAGATTCAGCATTAGAAATAATATAGGCAAAGAACAGTCCTGCTAGTTTGGCTCAGTGGAGAGTGTCGGGAAGGGTCCCATGTTCAATTCTGGTCAAAGGCACGTACCTCAGTTGCAGGCTTGATCCCTGGCCCTGGTTGGGGTGTGTGCAGGATGCAACCAGTATTTGTTTCTCTCTCTCCCTCTCTTCCACTCTCCAAATATCAATGGAAAAATATCCTCTGGTGAGGATTAAGAAAAGTAATATAGGCAAAAATCATTCTGAACAGCAAGGGAATTTTGTATTAAAGTCCAAAGAAAAGAGTATGGTACTTTGGGGGCTCACAGATGGTTCTGATACTACATTAAGGGTTTCAGAGAACTACATGGGGCAGAGAATGTAATCAAGCCCTGTGGTGACAGCCTTAAGCCAAATAGAGCCTGCTTTTTGTGGTATAGAACCAGCTAAAGTTATTATAGAATTCACCTGCTTGATGTTTATGTAACTTTTGTTTTAAAAGACTGATTTTTCCCCCCTTTGCATCCATGGGACTTGGCACAGTACCTGATCCAGGGAATATCAAAATGGTTTTTCCTTTAGTTAACCACTCTATATCATCTAATTCTCAAGTTAGACCAAAGCAGGGAAGACAGCTTCTCAATGGAGCTGACTGAAAGGATTTCTCCCCCACTCCTGGGGACAGACATTTTTAGTTATAATTTTGGGAAGGGGTGCTATTAGCATCTACTGAGTAGAGGCTAGGGATACTGCTAAACACTCTACAATGCACAAGGGAGCTCACACAACACAGAACTGTACAGCCCAAATTGTCAACAGTGCCAGGAGTGAGTAACCCTGCGCCTAGCCTAATTGCAGTAGTAAAGAAACCCTCAGTTCAACAAGAAGCTCTGCTGTTCCTAAAACACCATCAAAGGAGGCTAAAAATTATAGGCAAATTCTGTTCAGAGTCATCTGGACAGAGAACCCATTAGAGGAAAATACAACTCATGCTGAAGGAACCAAGGGGGAAAAAGCAACAGGGCTCAAATGAAGGGACAAGAATACACTGTATATGGAAAATCCTCAGCGTGGGAAGAAAAAATATACACAGGGAAAAATATGGAATGTTCCCACCAAATGTGAAATAGGCCCAGTCAATGCCATTTATTATACATGTTGAACAGCCTCTGAGACACAAAGGCTCCCATATGAGAGTTGCTGTTTTTTTTTTTCCGTTTTCTTTTTTGCATCAAACAGGTTCTTCCAAGAGCCTGCTCACAAGGAAGACAAAAACGAGTAATCCTCAATAAAATAAAACAAACAGGAATAGCTTAACAGTCTACATATGAAAAACAAAGGTTAAAAAACTCAACAGACAAAATCCACACCAAACACTCATCCCATTTAATTTCCTGTTTCATGCACTGAGGAAACCAAGAACATCAGGCCCCAAAGCAGTAACGCTCTGAGGTTCTAGTTCAGGCTCCCTCTATGTGACAGATTCATGCACACACATCCGCACATACTACTGACCCAGGCAAAAGTACACATGCATGCCAGGTGGCCAGAGAACCACAGAGGGGGATGAGGAAAGGGGGTGGGGATTGGCTGGTCAAGGATATGGTATCAACTGGAAACTGGGGGCCCAGAGAACCTTTCCGTGGCAGGCCAAGCAAGAGCCAAAATTAAAACAAAGGCAGAACACAGGATAAATGTAGGATGCTCAGAGAAGACGGGATAGATGAAGAGGGGAAGATGCAGGGGAAGATTTGGGAAAGCAGCCTCAGAAGAGGTTTTTTATTGGGAACGCAGATGGGCAGAGGGCCTGTGACTCGGGTGATACACTGAGGCTAAAGGAATATGCCCCAGCATTACCTCTGCCTCCTGTGCTTTCTCTCAAGGTCGAGGGAAAGCATAAACACCCACCCTATAGCCCTCCCCACTGCCACTTAAGGACTTTCCCAAGTACTCCCCCAAAAAAATGACCCCGCCCACACTCAAAGTTAAGCCCAGCAAAGGGCCAAGCATAGAAAGCCTCAGTAACTCTTCTTGGTGGAACCAAAGCCAGAGAAGCCCATCACAGCTGCCATTTCATCATCCTCCTCAAATGCCAAGTCCTCCTCAGCCTTCCTTTTCTTCTCCTTCTGTTTCTCTTTCTTGTAGGCTTTGGCCTTTTCCTCCTGGAGGGGTGAGGGGGGAAACCACTCAGAATCAGTTCAGGCTCCTGAGCCAAACATTGTTGAAAAAGACAGATGAGCTTCAAGATTCCTTTCTATTTTTAGGAGAAAATAGTTAAAGACAAGTAAAATTTCAAAAGCAGAGGAAAAGCCACAGTGAAGAGTGTAAAGGACAAGAGAAATTTTAGCCTGTGGAGAACACTTCTCAATCCTACATTCCAGTTCATCTCGTTAATACAGTTATAAAAGCAAAACCATTTAATAGCAACTAACATCCTGAGGAATGTAGTACATGCCAGGAACTGGTCTAAGTGCTTTAAGTATATTATATATTAAGATATCTAATCGGAGGAAACTGAAGCACAGTTTATATAACTTGCCCAAGATTTTTAGCCAGTAAGTGGTGGAAACAGAATTCTGATCCACCCAGCGTAGTTCCACTAGCCTCTTGGAGACCAGGTACATTTATTTAATGTTGTATAAACAATATGGCCCACAGAATCCAGGAAAAAAAAAAAAAAAGGATAGGTTAAGTAGATAGAGCGTTGGCCTGCGGACTGAAGGGTCCTGGGTTTGGTTCTGGTTAAGGGCACAAGCCCGGGGTGCAGGCTCGATTCCCAGTGGGAAGCATGAAGGAGGTAGCCTATCAATGAATCTCTCTCATCATTGATGTTCCTATCTCTCTCTCCCTCTCCCTTCCTCTCTGAAATCAATAAAAATATATTTATTTTTTTAAAAAAAGGACAGGTTTAGAGCCATTTCCTTCAATTCCTGAGAGTTTCAAATAAGGGTAATCAATGTTTCCCCTGATATACAGAAATTCAAGAGATAGGACAAATACCCTGGGGGTGGCAGTGGAATGAGAAAGTCAGCCTTCCTCTGGCTAGCTGTACTGTTGTCCCGTACACCAAAAGGTCACCAGTTTGATTCCAGGTCAGGAAACATACCCAGGTTTTGGGTTCGATCCCCAGTCAGGGTGCATACGGGAGGCAACTGATTGATGTTTCTCTCCCCGCCCCCCCCCCCCCCCCCCCCCCCCAACTTCCTCTCACTTTAGAATCAAAGAGAGACAGAGAAAATCAGCCTCCCCATGATTCCTAACATACTATTCAAAGCTGGGGGAAGATGGAAGGACAGGAGAGCCTTACTTCTTCTCTGAGCTCCTTCATCCTTTCCTCAAAATCATAATCCTTTTGTTTCTCTTCCATCTTCTTCTTATTGACTTCAAAACGTTTCTTCACCTGATCCAAGGTGGAACGTTCCACACGCATAGACATGCCCAGGTTTCGCTGATCTGGGTGGGGTCAACAGTGAAGAAGGTAAGGTAATAACAACATCCTCAGCCCCTCAAGTCTTTTCCTGATAATATTTTTTCCTTTAAGAAATTTTTAAAGAATTTATTTGGGTCAATTTGACAACATATGCCAGGGAGCAAGATCTCACATACTTCCTGCTGACATTTTTTTAACATCTTCTCATAAAACACACAGCAAAAATAATTATAGCTAAAACAAAAACAAAACTCCCTTGGCTTTACTTGATTCCAGAAGCTGCAGTCCCAGATTAATGGGATGCAAATGGCTTTAAACTTCCCTTAAAGCAGATGCATGTCAGTGGGGACACCTTAACCCAGAAAACCATGGTTTGGCTTGTCGAGAGCCTAGAACAGTGTCTCACTTCACGGCCTCCAGAAACATTAAATAATGAAGTAACAGATAACTTGTGCTGAAGCAACTGGAGAGTTGCCCAGGCATTAAAGGAAAGACCTAACAGAAACCACCCTTACCCCATCCCCGACACCAAAGCCTGATTCCAGCCCCAGCCACAAACCAACTCCAAGCCTTACGTTTCTTTCCATTAATGTGATCCAGGAAGTTGATGGAGTCCTTCACAACACAGTCACAGACATTGCAGTAATATCTAGCAAACAGAAAGAAACAGCATGAGTCAAATCTGTTTGTAAGGATTGTACTGTTTTCAACCAAGACATAATAATTTTAGGTAAAAAGTCTTTTTAGAAGGAGGCACTTCTCATTTCCATAAAGCCTTAGCTCTTGGAAAATTGTGGTAACTAACCTCCAAGATGGCCCCACAATGATCCCCACCCTCCTAATATTTCTAAACTGTGTAGTCCCCTCCCAATTTATACCAGGGCTGGTCTGTGTAACCAAAAGAATATATCAAAAGTGATGTTGCCCTGGCCAGTGTGGCTCAGCTGGTTGAGCATCATCCCATGCACCGAAAGGTCACCAGTTCAATACCAGTTAGAGCACATACCCATGTTTCAGGTTCCATCCCCGGTCAGGGTACAGGAGGCAACTGATCAATATTTCTCTCTTTCTCTCTCTCAAATCAATAAAGTCTTTTTTTTTTTTTTTAAAGTGATGCAGCCCTGGCCAGTTGGCTCAGTGGATGAAGTGTCGGCCCTCAGAATGAAGGGTCTCAGGGTTAGATTCTTGGTTAAGGCATGTACCTCGGTTTCATTTCCATCCCCAGCCCTGGTCCCTGGTCCAGGCACGTGGGGAGGGCAGCCAATCAGTGTGCCTCTCACCTTCATGTCACTCTCTAAACCTCTCCTCTCTCCCTTCCACGCTCTCTCTCTAAAAAAAGAAAGAAATCAATAAAAAAATATCCTCAGGTGAGGATTGAAAAAAAATTTTTTTAAGTGATGCTATTTCACTTCCAACATTAGGTTATAACAAATTTTTTAAATCATGGCTTCTATCTTAGTCTGTCCATATGGATCACTTGCTCTGGGGAAGCCATTTACTTTGTTGTGATAAGGACTATGGAGAGGCCCATGCAAGGAAGAACTAAGGCTGCCAAACCACAGCCATGTGGCAGAGGCTGGAAGTACAGCCTTCAGCTCCACTTATATCTTGGATGAACAGACCCAGCACACACCTTAACTGCACTTTTGTGAGAGATTCTAAGCCAGAACCACCTAAGTAAGTCTCTCCGATTCCTACCCACAGAAATTACAAGCTCTTTGTTGTTTTATGCTGCAACAAATTAAATTTGGGGTTGTTAATTTACATAGTAATAGATTACTAATATAGAGAAGAATGACAACAGTAGCTCAGAGAAGTGTCACTCTGCTGTGTTGCCCTCCTGCTGGAAAACCTAACTCGACAAAAATATGGGCAGAAGAAATGAGTTCTTGTGGGACAAGTCTTCCTATAGGTTACAGTCTTAGTCTAGGAAGGAAGTACACAACTAGATAATCTATATTACCACCTTTACAGCCAATCAGGAACCTCAACCCCCTTTATAGCTCCTAGCTTCCATTCTAGCTCCACCTAATTTCTCCTCTAAAAATCTCCTCAATAGTCCTTTCCTTCCAGCAGGAGAACAAATTATCCCTTTTAAGATGTTAAATAGTTATAGTGCTAATATGAAGAAGCATACAGAGTGACCCCTCCAAGAGATATTATAATGTTAACCTGAGATCTTGGGAGACAAAGAAAAATAAATCTAAGGATGGAATTACAGGCAACAAGATTGTTATCCTGACCCAGGAATCCTCCTCAACACTTCCTAAAACCAACATAGTCTATTAGACCTACAGTGAAAGATGAAAAGCCACTCACCCTCCCATCTCAGATTGTGGGGTGGTCTTGGTGATGACAATGGTCTTCCCAAGCTTGGATTCCAGGTCCACCTTGTAGTCCCTATGCCGGAGAAGCTCCCGCTTGACTGGCTGCACTGGTTTTCCTGAAATATAATGGGGAAGGAAGTCCCTTCAATATTGCAGCTCCCTTGCAACAGCATGGATGGAACTGGAGAGCATTATGCTAAGTGAAATAAGCCAGTCAGTGAAAGAAAAATACCACATGATCTCACTCATTTATGGATAATAAAGACCATTATAAACTGATGAACAAAAATAGATACAGAGGCAGAGCAGCATCGAACAGACTGAGCATAACCAATGGACACAAGACACTGGGGGGTAGGGGAGGCCGGGGGAATGTCAAAGGGGGAAAAAAAAAGGAGACATATGTAATACTCTTTGTAATACTTTAAGCAATAAAACAAAATATTAAATAAAAAAAATATATTGCACCTCCTTAACCAGAAAGGAAAAGATATGCATGAAACTCAAAGTCCAGAGGTTTACTCTCATTTTGTTTTTGAAACTTGAAGCAAGGGGCACAACAGGTACTTCTAGCAGTAGATAGGGAGAGTATGAACAGGAAAAAAGATAAGCAATCCTTAACTCACTACAGCATTTCTTCACTTTATAGCTAACAAGTCAAAAAGCAATGTTTTCTACTCATTGATGAACTGAATTGAAGGGAGAAGTTCTGAATTTTCACAAAAAGCAACCTTTTAAAAAAAGAGCAAGGATACTCAATAATGTTTTCAGATATCCCAAGCATAACACAAAATGGAATCTTCTGCGAGCTGGGGAAATCTTTAAAAAGGGGACTAACATTTAGGAATTACCTGTTACGTGCCAAACACTATTATTATATAAGATACCTAAAAACTAAAAGGTGTGCCCTAACTGGTTTGGCTCAGTGGATAGAGCGTCAGCCTGCGGACTCAAGGGTCCCAGGTTCAATTCCGGTCAAGGGCATGTACCTGGTTGCGGGCACATCCCCAGTAGGGGGTGTGCAGGAGGCAGCTGATCGATGTTTCTAACTCTCTATCCCTCTCCCTTCCTCTCTGTAAAAAATCAATAAAATATATCTTTAAAAAAAAAAACAAAACTAAAAGGTGGCTGGAGGTAAAGTGAAAGAAGAACATACAAGTTTGAAAACAGATGAGGAAAACCAAGTATTTCTTTTTGTACAGTGCAATCTCTATTCTAGGAGAGGTGGGCCAATTCCCTGACACTGTACAAGGCACAGAACACAGCCCTACTAAGCACTCGCAGGAACATCAAACCTTCCCAGGCTAGTACCCTTACTCTTCTCAGACTACAGGAAAAGGTTTAGATTGGGCCAGGAATGTTCTTCTCCCCCTTAAGTAATTTCAACAGAAAGAGAGGGTCTTCAGTAACAGTAAAGCATAGCAGCAAAATACCCCTCTTGACTTCTGTCACTATTAAGGATCCCACTCTTTTCAGGAAAGTACTAACATGAACCAGCACGGGGAGGGCAAGGAAGCACAGGACAAGAGAGCTGGAAAGCACCCCAAAATCACTTCAGTCCATCTCCTTCTTCATTTTATACATTAAAAAACAACAACACAAAACACTGAGGACCAGGAAGGCAGGGCTCGTACACAGGGTTAGAGGAAAGTGCACTGCGACTCCCCACCGGCTCTCCAAGCCACTGCATCGCCTCTACGATACCCTTAGCCCGTGATGGAGCAGGCACCCACCATCCTTCTTCTCTCTCTCTTCCGTGAGCCTCTTCTCAGCGAGCTTCTCATATTCATCTTTGTCCCACTTGCGGCGAAAGTCCAAGTTTTTTGTCTGTGGAGATAAAAAGCCCTCAGAATTCGTTGCTAATCGTGTCGGACGCCGAGAGAAACCACGTCATCACCGGCAAGGCGGCCCCGGCACCTCTAGAGAACGAAGGCTCCCCAGACCGCACCGGGAGGCTGAAGTGGCCTCAGGACCCCAACCCGAGAGACCTCCGCGATTCCACTCTGCACCAGGGCCTTACGGGGCCACAAAATCGCAAAGAGGTATCGGGAAGCCAGTCCGGTGCAGTATATTACACGCTAAGAATCCACCTCATACCCTCCACCCGCTGCAAGCCGCCTTCTACACACAACACCTACCCCACTGCTCGACGCCATTTTCACCGCGAAGTGAATGGGAAGCCGGAAAATGTCGTAAAAAGCGACCTTAGGCCGTAAAGCAAGCTTGCCCTCCAATAAGCTAAGCGTCTCCCGTTGTAAACCAGCTAAAGACTGGAGGGCTTTTAAAACAGACTCGTAAGCCCCGCCTCCGCGTCAATAAAATGGCGCATGCGCATGGGGAGTGTGAAGCAATACGGAAGTAAGGGCGCCTGAAAAGGTTGTTTTTTTTTTTTGGCTCTGGACTTCGGAAACAACCCTGAAAGTTCAACTCATCTGTTTTACAAACGAGGGACCTGCGGATCCGTGCCCTCTAGTCTAATTAACTTGCGTACATTGCCAAGAGTTTCTAAACCTTTAAGGCAGAAGCGCTGTTATTAAAGGCTTCAGATGCCCTATTTACCAGAACGGACTAAAGATATGCCGCCCCCTCCCCAACACCTAAGTGTTTGCAAAAGCTGCACCTTCCCAGGGCACACACGTAAGTGCTTTTCGCACCTTTGTCTCATTATCTTGAAGCAATGCTATCACTCTATAGTTAACTAACTTTCCCTCAACTGAGGATTACAGCCAACCTATGGTCAAATTTAATCAACATAATTATACTTGGGAAGGTCAGTTAGCAACAACACTCTAGGGCAGCGGTTCTCAACCTGTGGGTCGCGACCCCTTTGGGGTCGAACGACCCTTTCACAGGGGTCGCCTAAGACCATCGGAAAACACATATATAATTACATATTGTTTTTGTGATTAATCACTATGCTTTAATTAGGTTCAATTTGTAACAATGAAAATACATCCTGCATATCAGATATTTACATTACGATTCATAACAGTAGCAAAATTACAGTTATGAAGTAGCAACGAAAATAATTTTATGGTTGGGGGTCACCACAACATGAGGAACTGTATTAAAGGGTCGCAGCATTAGCAAGGTTGAAAACCACTGCTCTAGGGTGAAGAACTCTGGCAGATGGCTCACTATTGATTTAGTGACGTAAGTGTATCTCCAAGTTGGGGGTTGGAGGAACTATGACTGCTTCCTTCACTGAATACAGAGCATCACCCCAGGGAGGTTACTCCTTGCTCAAGAGTTAGAATTCTCTTCCTAGCCAGTTTTGCTCAGTGGATAGACCCATCGCCTTCAGACTGAAGGGCCCTGGGTTCATTTCCTGTCAAGGGCTCAATCCCTGCCGGCCCTGGTCCACGGGCATGTGGAAGGCAACCAATTGATGTGTCTCTCTTACATCAATGTTTCTGTCTGTCTCTCCCCCTCCCCTCCACTCTCTCTAAAATTCAATGGAAATATCCTCAGGTGAGGGTTAACAATAACAAAAAAAGATTTAGAATTCTTAGTGTACACTCAAGCATTATGCAAAACAATCCCTTGATAACAAACTACCCAACTACTACATTAAATATTTTATTTAATATATTATCTAACCACTTCTAGAATAGCCACCTCCATGGCAGGACATGAAACAGAGCAGAGATTCTGGCACAAGAAGTGGTCTCCAAAACCTCAAAAGATCAAATCTCCATCTTGTTAGGTCACCTATTAAGTTCAATATTCAAAATTATTAAACAGACAGCCTCACCCTACTATTGTTAACAGTGGATGGGCTAGAGACATACCACATCATATTGTCATTGCTATGCCCTTGTGATAGCATCTCTGTCCTCAAACAAAGTAGACAGCAGCCATTTGCCATACACCATTGTCTCCCCCAAAATTGGACAGGCCAATAGCAGGTAGTGGACAAATTTCCCAGAATCTGGTTCAGAAGCCACAGTGGAAGGCTAAAAATCTGACTTCTGATCTCAATGGTTCAGAATCCTCCCAGCCAGAGGTGACTTTCTCAGAGCCTTGCTCACAGCAAGCACCTTAGCACCTCTTGGCAGCATTCCAATGGTACATGAAATCTGTCATCTGTCTCTGCAGTTAGAGCATGTCTCTTTCACATACCAGCCATCTGCGCCCATGCAGAATAGCTGCTCACAATAGCCCAGGCGTCCTCAGGGCTTTCTATAGTTCTGTACCCAGGAAGGATGGAGGAGGCAGAGGCACTTGTCACCCATCCTGGCCAGTTGTTGAGAAGCCCATCAAGAACTCAGTCCTAGATGAAACATTTTCTACAAAGAGCAGCAGATGGCAATCAGGAAAGGATCAAGACTCGAATAGTCGCTTCTGAATTTCAGCCACAATATTTTCCCGTTTAATGGCCACCTGGAACATAAGAGAACCCTCATGTGACGAACTAAAAAATGATATAGCTCCTTAGCCATTGATTTTCCAGATTCATTTTACTCTATATCACCCCCACTACTTATGCAACCAGTAGGGAGTAGTGTGGGCTTTAAGCTGACCTAGAGATTGTATGTCCTCAAAAACAAAGGGATTCAAATGCCTGGTCTACATCTATTTTGTTAATTAGTCTCAAAATACCCACTGAAATTTCATCTGTCCTTCTTCTGCTTACCCAGCCAGTATTATGGGCTGCAACAGTTGCCTAGGATGGGTCTTCATTCATCTCTATCACTATTAACTCTGAAGATATTTCCTCAGCCAGAAATATATTTCTTAAAGAATCTTAACACGGTAGAGACACTTGGTCCCTTCTATTTTTGCCTGCCCCACTCACCTCCTCCCTGGTGGCCACTGAACGGAGCTTGATGACCCCTTCCTTCAGCTCTTGCTCACCAATAATGACTACCAGTGGAATGCCCATGTTCTCACAGTAGTGCAGTTGCGTTAGTAATTTAGGGTTGTTCTTATACAGCAGCTCTGCCTGAAAAGGATGAAGGTAAAGTATGGGATTTCGAAGTGACCACACCACTCCACCCCAGGTGTGGGGAGCCAATATAGGATTAAGCCTCGGACTGACCTGTTGGCAAAGTCACAAACAAGTCCCAGCTTAGAGGGGACAGTCCTCTTAGCATAATTAGGCTTGACCTTATAACGCTCCCCAGATCTTATCTGGGAAGCTAATGGGCTGAGGGAAGTGCAGGAAGTGGCCAAAACAAGTGAAACTCACAAGAACTGTGTAACTATGGTAACCACTACCTTGTTTACCACTGACTATAAAATAAAGGCTCAGCTTGCCTCGTGGATCTCTCTCTGTGGCCTCAGCCAGGCACAGGAAGATCCACGGAGACTAAAGAGAGCTAGAGAGCTATGAACGCTGTCTCCGTGTAAATCATTCTTTGCCGACTCCATCAACACCTTTGGGAACCCCTGGCCCGCTGGGCCTGGACCCCAGAACCCCAATATTTCCAAATTATCTCTTGTCTCTTCTCTTTCATTTGTGTGCGGCTCCTCTTCCAGATCCTGAACCCTGAACCACGCGGGACGTGGAGGGAAACATTTACAACACCCAGGAGTGCGAATTTCCAAAGAAATAAGTAGCTAGCCCTCCTACCCAAAGAAGACACTCTAGTGAAGACTGGAAAGATCTTGAGTTCCACCTAAGCATAAAGTAGAAATGGGCCTGGTGCCTAAATTCCACATATACCTACATGGTTTGGAAATTAGCTCCACCATACCTTGATCCCAGCATCCCAAAGCTCTGCAATTAGCTTCAACCGTTCTTGGAGAAAGTTCTTCTGTGGAGTGGCCACAAACACTTGGGTCTCTGTGGTCCGTATCTTCTCACCAAAAGTCTGATAAAAGAGAAAGACCTAAAATAAAAACTTCCTTTGCACCAGTTAACTCCCAAAAACCAGGACAAAAAGAATCATAAGAAACACAGTTCAAAAAAAAAACACAGTCCAACCCTGGCAGATATAGCTCAGTGGTTCGAGTTTTGGCTTGCACAAAGAATAGAGTTTTGGCTTGCGCAAAGAAAGGATTCGATTGCCAATGTGCCTGGGTTGCAGGTTTGATCCCTGGGCAACCAATCAATGCCTCTCTCTCCACCCCCC